GTCTTGAATACTCAACAGAGACATTTTGGTTCTCTCTATTTGAGGTTTACAGTTATTCAAATAGATTAAAAAAAAAAAAAAAATTCTACTTCTTCATCCACGCAAACACTTTGTACCTCACTTACAAGAGACCCTTAACTCGATTGCAGACCATGGGCGTAACAATTTGGTATCAGAACTAATAGTTATGGGTGAATTTGCTATAGAACAACTTATCAAACTCTTTGTTATAGAACAACTTATCAAACTCTTTGTTATAGAACAACTTATCAAACTCTTATATTTACTCTTATTTGAACAACGTAGCAATTAAGCCGGTAATGAGAAGGTTGAGCAGGTTCGTGCCAAATTGGATGTCATATCTCTTGATTTGGAATCCACAAAGAAGGGTCTGACTATTTCAAATTGAATGTCGAACAAAAACAACAAGAGATAAGGGGATTTTTGGAGCACTAAGTTCTAAAAATTAGGGAGGAAACTTGATTGTACCACACAGAACTTGACTTTCCTTGCTTCAATGGGTTGGAAGATCCCTTGGATTGGATTAGCTGTTGTCAACAGTTTTTTTGACATCAATTGACACCTGGAGAAGAAAATGTGAGCTTAGCCTCTTATCATTTAAAGAGAATTGCTCTAACTATGATTTTTACAGATGGTATAGGATACTTCGAATCCCACCTGGACAGAGTTTGTCCACCAATGCAACTTGCAGTTTGGACCTCCCATCCAAAGCAATAAATTGGGGGAGCTCACCAAGCTAAAACAAACGGGGTCAGTGGGAGAGAACTCGAACAAATTTCAAGAGCTGAAATTTTAACTCAAAATTAGAAGATTCAGTTGTATCTCAGCAGATTGCAAAAATATGAGCAAATTGCAAAAGTCTATATCAGTTGAGGGGGAGCTCCACTAGCCACAGGACTGGGTAACCGCAATGAGTATTTTTGCTTGTACGAAAGGAAAATATATTCAAGGGCCACAACCAGTCGAACTAACAAACGCAATTCACCAATTGCATATTCACACACCAACCATTAGTAAAACGACTCACTAGGGAAGAAATGGAAAGAAAGAAGGGAGAATGGGTTGAAGCGAGGGAAGTTTAAGTTTCTTAATTTTGATACAATCAAGTTTTCTCCAAAATTTTTAGAAATGGTTGCCCCAGAAATCCCTTTTATCCCTCCTTGTTTTTTATTTGACTTTCAGCACGGAAAGAAGTTAGGCCCTTTTTTGTGGCTTCAAAGTCAAAAGGACATACATCTAATTTGGTATGAAACTGTTCAACCTTCTCATAACAGCTTGATTGGCCTCTTGTTCAGATAAGAGTAAATTGAAGAGTTTGGTAAGCAGTTCTTGAATAGATTCAACCATAACTGTTGACTCTGATACCAAATTGTTGCAGTCCTAAGTCTGCAATCAAGTTATGTATATCTCATAAGTAGAGGTACAAGGTGTTTGCCTAGTAGCTATTTTTTCAATCTATTTTGAATAATTTGTAAGACTCAAATAGAGGGAATTTTAATACTTTTGAGTTAAAGTACTCAAGATTGAATTGAAGTTTTGTTGGGTACCATCTTCATTGATGTTTATGAATATTTATACAAGTTGTATAATAACCATTACTTCATCAATTGAATCATGACTCAACCATGGTGGATTGTCCTCCTAAAACATAGGAAATTACTAAAAACAAAAATGTGGGAGATTAGTCTGTCTAACAGCTTTTAGAATCTCCTTTCCAATGTCCGGACTGGAGTTATCCTTTTTTCACGAGTCCTTCTCTTTTAATCTAGATCTGGACGTCCTTCCACCATTCTGGCCTTGGGATTAATTTTGGGATAGGTTTTTGTTTTAAAGAACTTGATGTTTTAGAGCTGTTATTATGACTCTCGAGGTTGGAGAGGGGGGAGCACAAAGCGGATCTTGGTTGGCTTCAAGGTGAAGGGACGCATGGATGAATTCGCACTGAGATTAGAGTGATTATGTGATAGGGCAAGTGTATAAGTTCTCTTAGAAATCACGCGAGAGAGTACAAAATATGTTGAAATGATTCATTTTGGTTTGTGGAGTTACTCTTCAATCTCAAAAGCAGCTCAAGACACATCAGGTTGAGCTCAAGGCATTACATGGCATGTCCAGATCATAGGACTGTTACAGCCGCAAAACTAGGTGCCGAATTCAGATTCTAAGTATTGGGCATGAGGCATTATAGCTGTATGTTGAAAGTACAACAATCGTTTTCTAGATTTTAAACAGTTTTTAGATACAGCTTTTTTTCCTTCTTGTTTGTAATGGTTCCATTTGTAGACCACAAATCGTATGGGACTGTATTTTCTATTACACACTTCCGAAGTGTAAATGCAAGATAGTCATATATGCGAGGAGGTAAAAGAATGTGATCATGGTATTAGAACATTGACCCAGGAGATAAACCTTGTACCTCCAAAATTCTCTCTATCAGGAAGAGAACAGAATACGCTGGTATCTGTAAATATATAGCAATGTGACAGAAAATTTTACATTTTTGACAGGTTGCTTTTGGTAGGAGACTTGGTATTGAAGAACCACAACTAATGAAGTTGATGAAAACCACACTTTACTCTCATAGTGAATGGTTTAAACTTCAAATGTGCAAGGATCGGTTTGAAAGTCTCTTAAAGATTGATTCCTTGAAGGAAGTTAATCCCCCTCTGCTTTCTACTTCCGCTGGGCTATTGAAATCAAATTCAGATAGTTGCACCCCCGGTTCTTCCCAAGTCGCAAAATCTTCGGGTGCAAGAACCACAGGAGATGGCAGCAGTCCTACGCAAGCGTCATCTAGAGATGCATGTGACGAAAGTGCAATTCTTAAAGTCATGGTAGGTAATCTCAACTTGTACAATGAACTTCTATCATCCCATATATGGTCTCAAATTATATTTGGTAGAAAAAAATGTGGTTTTCTATAGTCCTTCTGTTGTAGGTTTTCTCCATATTTATGATGCGAAGTTTTTGTGCATTGGTTCAGGAGTTTCTTGCTTTGCCCAGAGCTGATGCCATTCATCTTCTTGCACAGTATAATGGAAATGCAGAGATGGTCATCCAGCAAATATTTGCATAAGTTGGCATGTAAAAATTGTAGCTTTATTATGATGGGGTTCATTTGTTTATTATTATTTGCCTGACATTATTTCATTCATTGTGTAAAATACTTGTATACCATCTTTGTATATGCCAGAGCTCCCAATGTACATAAACGTCCGTCCAACGATTAATGACCCTTGGGTTCTTTTATTATATTTATGGGATTGGCGGATGTGCAATCGAGCAGTTCGGGAATATGTAACTTAGATCTGAATGTGCATAGCAATGGATTTCAATCACAACTGTAAAGAAGATGTTTTTTCTTCTTCTTGTAACACATTTGATTCGTGGAACAATATCGATACGAGTAAACTTCAAATTTGATTTATTCAATACTCAACCCTTAGTGATATAACTTGTAGAACTAAGTTATTGGGTATTATTGACATTAAAATTTGGTTGATATAGTAGATTACGATATCTTGAAAATGAAGAAACTAACTGAATATGGATAGTGAATTATTTGTACGAACAGTAAAATCTTTGCTAATAGTTTATCACTTATCTCTATCATTTCTTTATAGCAGGTGGTGGGACTTGGGGTCATATTTAGGGAGATGAGCCCTTATGGAGCAAAAAAGGTTAGAGCACATAAAACAAAAGTGCACAAACAGCGAAGAACGAGCACCCTCTAAGATTCTCCGAAGACGCATTAATTTAAAAAGAGCACATAGCCATCTGTCACATATTTAGGCAAAAAAAAAAAACCTTATAATAATTCAGTAGTCAGAACATTGGCATAAATGGGTTTCCACTTTGGTTTATTTTTATGCATTTGATGATCATATCAGCGTGGGGTGCACGTTTTGATCACCAACTTTCTTCATTCTGAAGCTTCAATTTTAAGGCACTCCCTCTTTTAACCTTATAAATACTATTTTCCATTGTAGAGTTTATCTCCTTTTAAGGAAAGGCTACAAAATTTCAACCCATAATTTAAACTTAGAAAACAAATCTATACAAGCATCATGACATGCTTTGTTTGAAGAAATCCACTTCAAATTATTTATCAAAACTGCGATAAGACGGTTTATTAAAAGTCAACAATAAAAATAATAATAATAATAAATAAAAATAATCAACGCAACCTGCAGGCCGATAGATTATAGAGTTTAAAATTTGGTAAATAATAATAATTGAATTGACAAATTGGCTTCTGTTTAATATAAAAAAAGAAAATGTGTCACATTTGTTATCATTTTTCTTTAATATAATATATCATAACATGTTTACGTGGAAAAATTGAATTAGATTGTTTTATTATCTCATTTATAGACATTGAGATTTATTTTAGTTAATTAAAATAATATAAACACATTCTTCAAAAGAAATAATTGAAGAAAATGAGGTGTTTTGAGAAGCGCTCAGAAGCATGGGGGAATGATGGTTACAAGAATTGGTTGTTGTGCATGCATTCATTGAGGTTAATGATGGCTGCTGCTCATCCTTTTTTAGTTATCTTCCGATCAAGACTACTCCCAATATTACTAAAATTATTTTTTCAAACTATCTTTCTCCTCTGTAATATTATATTTTATCAATCACAAAGATCTTACATTCGCCCTCTTTGAGATTATCGTTGCTGATATACCGCTCGATGCCGGATTCTAATACCATTGTAACAACTCAAACATATTATCGGCTTTTGTTGGGCTGATTTTGTAGAAGAAGAAGACAGAAAGAGAAGAATACATGATTGAGCATAAACAAATGATATCCAGTGTTAAATAATGGGAGGGATCAGGACCTGCCTCTCTGGACTGTCCTTTTTAAATTTTTCTGGGAAAAGGGATTCGATGCATTAAATTAGAGCATCACGCCCAGGGTTTCACTGTTGCTAAGAACAAATTAATTTGTAATTTAACCATTGCTTTATTTATATCCATTTGAAACGAAAAGGGCATTACAGTGTAGCAAAGGGGTACTCGCATTGCCCCCACCTTCATTCTTTGACGCGCCTCTGCACTTTGTTTAGTGTTTGGTAAATCTATCGGTTCTTTTCCACATTACGCCGTCTGGGTCTACGACAAAAGTTTTGATTTAAAGATTTGTAAGATTTTGCCGGAACCTAACACCATAACTCGTACGGAGTACTAACAAAATTTCAATTTTTGTTTGGAATTTGAATGCAGACGGAGCCCCTCAAATTACGCGTTACCTCGTTTCTTCTTGTTCTTGCTTTCTGTGCATCACGTGTCCAAATTTATCTTCTTCACCTTAAACCCCAATGTCTCTCTCTTTGGGTCTCGTTCTTGCCTATTTTTGAAGCAAATCTGCAGCCGCTGGGCTTAGTAGACGAACGGGGTTGACGGTTTGGTCCCAAAATTTGACCTCTGTTCCCTTTTTTGCTGTTTTTCTTGTAATACCCATGGCCGAAAGTATCTGTTTCTTCAACCAGGTATTCTATCTTTCTTCTTTGCCTGCACTTTACCTTTTAAAATCGAGAGTTTCTGGTTTCGCTTCATGCAGATTCCGGGTTTCAAAACATTTTCCTTTCTTCTAGGTTTCATAGTTTGAATGTTCGATTATTTTGAGGTTAAGAAGTTCGTTTTCTTAGTTTTCCGAACAATTTGCCTTGTGCAGGTCATCTTTTTTGTTCTTTAATTCATGCAGCTTCCGTTGTTATTTAAGGGAGCTTAACGAACTGTAACGTATTTTTCCTCTTTCATGATTTCCCAGGATACTCTGATTCTAAAACCTCCCAAGAAATCTCCTCTGTTGTTGAGGATGGCAGTGTTGATGTTTGCAATGGTCTGTAGTGTTTCCATATGTTCAATCTGTGTGAAGCAGTTGAACACTCACACCAAGGCCAGATTCCTGAGGGTTCAAATCGCTGACTATCCTGAAAAAAGTATTAGACTAACAAAAGTTCCTCGTGAGCATTATCCAAGACCCAAAACTTTTAGCAGGTACTTGAAATTTATGCTTCTAATCATGATTTCAAAAGTTTAAGATCACTCAATACTCAGCTTTTGTGTTGTATCAGGGCTGAATGCTTCGACAATCCAGTAAGATTCTTTGCAATCGTGTCGATGCAGCGGTCAGGAAGTGGCTGGTTTGAGAGTCTTCTCAACAGTCATGTTAATGTCTCCTCTAATGGTGAGGTGTTTTCTGTTTTGGATCGGCGAAAAAATATTACCTCAATTGTACAGACTCTGGATAGGATTTACAATTTGGACTGGCTCAGTAGTGCTTCTAAGAACCATTGCTCTGCTGCAGTTGGCTTCAAATGGATGCTTAATCAGGTAACTAAGGGTCCCGTTTTATTTTTCGTGTTCGAGACTTAAACTTATAGACGCTACTTCTACCTATGTGTAATGTGTGTGCCTAGTATGCGTAATCTTTGAAGCTTAGTAATGAAATTTTTACACTATAGATGCATGTTCGGTTGAAGAGGAGAACGAAGCATTCCTTATAAGGGTGTGGAAACCTCTCCCTAGAAGACGCGTTTTAAAACCGTGAGGCTGATAGCGATAGGTAACGGACTAATTTACTCCTCATAAATGCATCTCAGTATGTGGAATGTTGTCAACCTGATCCGTGCTAAAAATCATGTAGTTGCACGACATAGTACCGTGTTCATTTCATTCCCAGTTTAATTTGTTTCGACTGAGGGCTTCACTTGATGGTTGGAAGAGGTAGCTTATGGTATTTTGTTTGAATAGGGATTGATGCAGCATCATGAAGAAATAGCAGACTACTTCAACCAGAGAGGTGTTTCTACGATTTTTATCTTCCGAAGAAACCTACTACGTCGTATTGTTTCGGTTCTTGCAAATTCCTATGATCGTTATGCTAAGATGTTGAATGGAACCCACAAATCACATGTGCATTCTCTAGAAGAGGTTTCTCTCCCTTGCGCTCTCTTTCTCACTTGCTATTGTTGTCTCGATTTTCTTTCTGTTACTCAGGGTCTTAAAGATATGGCCGATTGAACTGTCTTTCAGGCCGATGCACTTTCGAAGTACAAGCCTGTCATAAATTCGACATCGTTGGTCTCTGATCTGGAGGGAATGGAGTCAACAATTTCTAAGGCCTTGGAGTACTTTGGTAACACAAGGCACATCATTGTGTACTACGAGGACCTAATCAATAATCGAACGGTGAGACTTAATCGGTTTGGATTGTTCATTGCTTGGTGCTAACCCATTGCAACTCTGCTGCATTGGCTTTTCCCTCATCTTTTGAAGCTTTGATTTGACGGTCAAATAAAATCCCCACCATTCTTGTTGCAGAGACTGAAAGATGTACAAGAGTTTCTTAATCTGCCACAAATGGAACTAAGAAGCCGCCAAGTGAAGATACACACAGGACAATTGTCTGATTACATCAAGAACTGGGACGATGTTAAGGTGATTCTGAACGGAACTGCTTACGAGCATCTTCTTCACGCAGATTACTGAGCTATATATCGTTTTTTGCTCGACTTTTGAGATGGTTGGAAAGGGTAATGCCTTGCCAGTTCTTCCCAAAACAAAGAAGCTTAACCAGTTTGGACTGTGTTTGCCTGATGTTCATTGGAGTGTTACGAATGTTTCTTCCCTCTCAATCAGCCTTCATTGATTGAGGACCAACCCTTTTTGGTTTATAGTCTGTTTGACCAAACTGAATTGTAAATGTTAGCTAACTGTTGTGATAGTGTTATTGTCTCATTCAATCTGCAAAAGTATGAGCTTTTCTGACAAAGGGGCATGTAAACAAACTGAGGATGTTTTCTTGAACAAAAATTTAATCAAAACAAGAGAAACTTCAGTATATTTTGGGACACATACCTTGCAGCCAAGCCAATCCTACTCTTTGTTGGGAATGAAATTAGTTAGGGAGCAAGAGTTAAAAAAGAGTATTGAGTTAAATAAAGTGTAATAGAAAATAGTTTTTCAAAATTTCTTTGGTCTCTTGTCCCTCTCCTTTCGACATCTCCTTTCCAGCTTCCTTTCCAGCCTCGTGAGTGTTATTTTAACAAGTTAGTTTCATAGCGAGCGTTTACTTCTACAAATTGGTATCAGAACAGATTCTTATTTTCAACAAATTAGTATCGGTTCAACACTCCTCATGTAATTGTCCAGAAAAGATGAACAAAAAAAAGTGTCATATTCTTCTTCATATATGAATAAAACACGTGAATTCATACTCACTCCATTCAACAAAACGTCCATAAAGTTACAATCTTTTTTTTTTCTTACGGTTTCCAGAGACATGCATGAATTCGCCCATATCTTAAATTTTGACTAAAACCATGTTTTTCACATTTTCTATACTGATTTGATGTTAGTAGATTCGGCCGTCCAAATTCATTGCTAGCAGATATTGTTCATTTTAGTGTTACGTATCGCTATCAGTCTCATGACTTTAAAGTGTGTCTGATAGGGAGAGATATCCACACCCTAGTATAAAACCTTTCCAACCGAGGTGAGATTTTACAATCCACCCTCCTTGGAGGCCAGTGTCCTTGTTGGCACACCGCTCGATGATTGGATCTGATCTCATTTGTAATAGCCCAAACCCATCGTTAGCAGAAATTGTCAGCTTTGATCCGTAATGTATCGTCGTCAGCCTCACGACTTTAAAACGCGTTTGATAGAGAGAGTTTCTATACCCTAATATAAAACCCCTTTCTAACCGACATAGAATTTCACAGAGGCGGATTAGCAATTTACAAACAAAATTTGAGTGATACACTAAAAATTCCTCGTAAGCTTGAACTTTGGTAGGAGCAGAGAATTGTTTCCAAAGCTTCTTAATTAATTCTCAAATTAATCTGATTGCACTATCAGTGGTCAACTCCTATTCCCTTTTTGTGAGAAACTAAAAGTCAAAGTTTAGAACTCAATTAATTAAGCCCCCATTAAGAATTCTAATTAGTTGTGTTTTTATATTGGTCAATTGGGAGCCGAAAAAGGGACCTCCACTCCACTGCTTTGGTGGGCTTCACAGTAACTCATAGCACCCCTTAACGCTCCTCCTATAAATAGCTCTTTAGTTTATGCTGTTCTTGCATATACTCTCTCTTCACCCTTCTCAGATCTCATCACAGCTTGGTTGGAATTTGTTCAACTTCAAATCTATGGCGCCAACCAAGCTAAGCTTTGCCTTTCTTTTCACTGCCCTTATAGTTTTATGTTATGTTACAGATTCTGTCCTGAGCAGGCCATTGAAAGCCGACACAAATCACCAACTCTCTGAGAGGCCTGCAAAAGACGGTCATTTCCAATTCCATGGTAAAAGTGTTGATGAAGGAAACGGATCGACCAACCCGAACCCTCCTACAGCAGCTGCGGCGGGTTCGTCTCCCGGTCGGAAGATGGATGACTTCAGGCCAACCACCCCCGGGCACAGCCCTGGAGTTGGCCATTCCATTCAGAACTAAAACTGCAGTATTATTATTATTGGTTATTTCTCCACAAGGAACAAAAAAGAAAGATGAAAGGGTGTTGCATCCGTCATAATGTAAGCTATATATATGATTTATGGATGCATGAATTGAATTTTTATTTGGTATGAATATTGTGTTGTGCTCTTAGAGCATAAATTAAGTCGATAAGACGTCAGTTACCATCTCAAAAAGTTGATGGACGAATAACTATTTCACTTATGAAACATTTCATGTCGGGCCAGAAAAGGCAAAGTCGGTCCTCGTGTGATATATGCGCTTAAATTTTATAGCTAACCTAATGGAAGTTTTATGTAATTACTTGGATTATTGCTTTGATGAAAGAAATGTAAAAACATTATATAGCTTTCAATGGAAATGGAAATGGATAATGTAAGAATATTTCCATATACATATCATATCATGGTTACGTACCATTACGTTTCGTATAAATTTAATATTCAAAATCCATGAGATCTCACGTTCATTGAAGTGTGAAAATCTCTTCATAACAGACATATTTTAAAACTGGTAACAGACCAAAGTGAACAATATTTGCTAGCGGTAGACTTGAGCTATTACAAATGGTATCAAAGTCAATCACAGGATTGTGCAAGGCACTAGTTGAAGTAGATGCATTTTAAAACCGTGAGACTGACAGCAATACGTATCAACATTGGTACTTACTTTGTGAGTATTTCATTCAAATGACTTGAGGCTTAAGACTCGACGCCACTTTTTTGTCGTTCAAACTGTCAAGAAGACCATCCTCATGGCTATGTCTATGTCCAAAGCATGACTCGTAGACCCTTATTGGCATATAACAATCTTTTTCATATATTGGCAAAAAATGGAATGGATTGTCCACTTCGAATTCTCCGTTTGATGGTGATCTTGTTCTTAAACTTTACCCAAAATTCTTATATTAATGAAGTAATATGTAAGTTCTTCTATGCTTGTAGAGCCTAATAAAGTAAACAGAAAACAGAATTTGTATAGTTTATACATAGTGATTAAAAGGACGAGATGATTAACGGAATAATGACCCTTTTGACATAGAAAAACTTGGAAAACCTTTTGTCATTAGTTTATTGAATCACCAAAAAGGCCTACTTCACAGCAAATGCTTTTGCCTGTGCTCCACAGCTTGGCACTATATATTCAACACAGAATCACAATCTTTCTTTTTCTTTGTTTAATGGAAAAAACTAGTGGGAGAGAGGGTTCCCTATATTGAGGAACAACTGAAGTGGGTCCTAATGGAGGAAGATCCTGATATCAATCTGAGGTATTATAATTTAAAAATCAGGTCTAATACTATGGGATGGCTGCTGCAACGGAGCTTCAAGTGGAGCTCAGGCATGCCACTAACCTTATTAATCTCAGTCTTATGACCATCATCATTACTTCTTTTGTTTTCTAATCAAAAAGAGCTCTTCACTATTTGATTTCAAAGTTATTGACACACTTATGTGACACAACCAAGTGGTGTGGACCCTCATTTCTTTGGCTGCATGTGATCTGTGCTGGCTTTGACTTCTTTCTTTCTTTTTCTTTTTTCCAATTATACGAAGCTCTTTATTAAACGTATATGAGTTCATCTTCAATTGCTATCGTCCAAAACAAGCAAAAAAAAAAAAAAAAAAAAAAAAAGTTGGTTGACAATACTTTTCCATTCAACATAGGCAGACAGAGGTGGGTTGACTCAGTAAATTGAAAGTGTGAAGACAATATATAGATGTGAATGTAAATGTTTTTTTAAGGTTGTAATGAGTTTGTAGTGTTGGAGTTGAAAGTGTTCCATTAAAATATAATAGTGATGATGTGAATAAATTATATGGGAAAGGGCACACGAGTGATTATATTGGTAGGAACGGTGAGAGATTCGGTCAAATATACAATTCTTCTGTTTATGTGAGCCGTCCATTGCTAATACCTTCTTTGTATTAGTGGCAGCTGCTTCAAAGACCCCTTCGTATTTTATTATTATAACCTAATACCTTTCAATATTCAATCATATCAATGCACTTCCCCTTGTACTACTTCTCTCAACTACAAGCACTCCTGTTTTTTAACATTATATTCTAAATATCTCACAAATATTCAATGGGGTGGTTTATGCTAATTGGTTTGATTCGGTGACATCGAAACGAAACATTTTTTTATCAAGATTTGGAAACCTCTCCCAAATAGCGTTTTAAAATTTTGAGACAATATCTGCTAGCGGTTGGCTTCTCATTCCCAACATTAAACTATACTTCATTCAAATGAACTACAGAAGACTCGATAATGACCCTAAAATTCTTCAATAAAATTTGTGTAACAGCCCAAGTCCACCACGGGCAGATATTGTCCTCTTTGGCTCGTTACATATCGCAGTCAACCTTATAATTTAAAAATGCGTTTACTAAGGAGAGATTTCCATACCCTTAAGTAAGGAAGGTAGTAAATGACTCTAATATCATTTTTTAAAAAATATGATCTATTTTAGTCTATTATTTATGATTGTCAACTTCATAATTTTAAAATGCATTTACTATAAAGAGGTTTCCACAGTGTTTAGAAGTAATGTCGTTCCCTTCTTCAATCGACGTAAGATTTCACATCGTACACGAGCAAACATAAAATAAAACTCAAAAGTTCCACCGAGTGACATTAAAACACTAAAAAAAAATTAAGATCACATTTGATAAGTATTTGATTTATTATTAGTTTTCATTGAGAAAAAGCATGAAAAAGTTCTCCTCGAGGGTCCTCAGCTCTATAGTAGGTGCGTGGTCTGCAAAGCGAGATCTTTTGAAATAATTGCTTCTGTATACAAACAAACACAAATTATGTATTAGCAACTAACCTAACGCACAGTTGGTCGTGAGAATGTGTGGGGTGATAAAGTATTAAACCATTAGAAGATCTTTGATTGATTTGGCCCACACATGGAGAGGAAGGCCGCAAATATAGTAATGATGGAAGGCAGGTGGATCTTCTGGTGTCCTGAATAGCCGCCTGCCCCTTCTACTAACTTTTCTGCGGCCTCCTCTTCCAGTAACCTCAACCATGTGCTCCTCTCTTCTTCTCTTCTAACTCTTCACTTTTAAGGTGCGCATCCTTTGTCTTAAACTTACTGAACACTAAGAATCTCCTTCCCATGTGGTTCCTGTTGCATTGGCTTTCACTGTTTTGTTTTCTTTTTTAATAACTTGGAGAACTTTTGGGAGAGGGCAAAAAAAAGAAGGAATTTTTAGGGTTTTGCGAGTTAGGTTTTGTAAGAACCAACTTGCTCATTTTTTTAAATAAGAAAAGGGATACGTTCATTTGCCTTCTACTTTCTCATCTTCAAATTTCATATGCCCTTTCACCAACTTGAAAGTGTGTTGTATTTGCATG